CATTTTTGTTTACTTTTACAAAAAAAAAAATATTATCTCTGGTGATCAGGTAGCATGAATTTTATGAAATGTCATAATTTTATTAAAAGTCAAATGGTTAGCAACAACAACGAATGTCATTAAATGGAACTACCTTCTTTTTTGTATCATGGTATTCTCTACTAATTGTTTGAAGTCAATGAGTGTCATTCGATTGCTCGACTTGCTTTTCATAACAGCATTTTTCACTCGCTTGACTTGATTTGGAAAGAGTATATCAATGCCATATTTGAAATCAAATGAGTACACTGCAGCTAAACATTGATTTCAAAACTAACAATGAATCTCACTGTTTGTACGCTGTTTCTCACTAACCTTATAGAGTTCACAGCAATGAGTTCATACTGTTTAGATGGAAGTGAGGAAACTCATGCTGTTGTCTGTTAGGTATGTATGTATGTGGCAGATTGCAGTCTAAACGGACGAACAGAATTCAACAAAATTTTGACAGAGTATTGCCATTACACCTGGGCCTATAATACGGTGAAAAAATGGGGATCCGACAAGGTGGCGTGGCACCTCCCATAGGCGTGAAATTTTTAATCAGCCATAACTTCCAGACCATAAGTCACATGGACTTGAAACTTGGTATGCAGATACGTCAATAGTAGATGCTTATAGGCAGGTAAATATAAACCAGTTTGCAAAATGGGACGTGGCACATTCCATATGCGTGGAATATTTTATCAGTCATAATTTCGGAACCATAAGTCCCACGAACTTGAAACTTGGTATGCAGACATACCAATGGTAGGTGCTTATAGGAGGGTATATAAAAACGAGTTTGCAAAAGGGGGCGTGACACATCCCATAGGCGTGGAATTTTTTATCAGCTATAACTTCGGAACAAGGATGCATTGTAACGTTAATTTTAGCGTTTACCAAAAAAAATCAATCGTTTCTGTTAAAACGATTCAGATTTTTATCGTTTAGGTAATTATCAAAATAATTCTATTTTGCTTATTAACGAAAAGAAATTCAATCGTTAATTCTGAAGCTGTAGTATGCATTTAGGTGCTAGGTGTTTATAGTGAGCTGGCAATGGCATACAGCAACAACTTTTCGTTAATTTATTTTGTTTCGATGTTAACGATTGATAATTTATTTCGTTTCAACGTTAACGATTGAGTTTTGTTTCGTTAATTCAGCTCTGAAACGAAACGAAATTGTTTTGATAAGTTCTTTTTGCGCATCAACAAAACGAAATCGATTCATATAGTTTGTTGCGCATCTCTGCTTTGGAACCATAAGTCCCACGAACTTGAAATTTGGTGCGCAGACATATCAATGGTAGGTGCTTATAGGAGGGTATATATAAACGAGTTTGTAAAAGTGGGCGTGGCACATCCCATAGGCGTGGATTTTTTTATCAGCTATAACTTCGGAACCATAAGTCAAACGAATTTGAAATTTGGTATGCAGACATATCAATGGTAGGTGCTTATAGGAGGGTATATGCGTGGAATATTTTATCAGCTATAACTTCGGAACCATAAGTCCCATGAACCTGAAATTTGTTATGCAGACATCCCAATGGTAGGTGCTTGTGGAGAGTATATATAAACGAGTTTGTAAAAGTGGACGTGGCACATCCCGTAGGCGTGGATTTTTTATGAGCTATAACTTCGGAACCATAAGTCCCACGAACTTGAAATTTGGTATGCAGATATATATAAAGGAGTGTGTAAAAGGGGGCGTGGCACATCCCATAGGCGCGTAATTTTTTATCAGCTATAACTTCGGAACCATAAGTCTCACGAACTTTAAAATTTGGTATGCAGACATACCAATGGTAGGTGCTTATAGCAGGGGATTATATATTATCGAGTTTGTAAAAGGGGGCGTGGCACATCCCATAGGCGTGGATTTTTTTTATCAGCTATAAACTTATATACTAAACTATAACTTAAAATTTGGTATGCAGACATCCCAATGGTAGGTGCTTATAGGAGAGTATATATAAACGGGTTTGTTAAAGGGGGCGTGGCACATCCCATGGGCGTGGAATTTTTTATCGGCTATAACTTTGGAACCATAAGTCCCACGAACTTGAAATTTGGTATGCAGACATACCAATGGTAGGTGCTTATAGGAGGGTGTATATAAACGAGTTTGTAAAAGGGGGCGTGACACATCCCAAAGGCATAGATTTTTTATCAGCTATAACTTCGGAACCATAAGTCCCACGAACTTGAAATTTGGTATACAGACATATAAATTGTAGGTTCTTATAGGAGGGTATATATAAAGGGGTTTGTAAAAGGAGGCGTGGCACATCCCATAGGCGTAGAATTTTTTATCAGCTATAACTTGGGAACGATAAGTCTCACGAACTTGAAATTTGGTATGCAGACATATAAATTGTAGGTGCTTATAGGAGGGTATATATAAAGGAGTTTGTAAAAGGAGGCATGGCACATCCCATAGGCGTGGAATTTTTTATTAGCTATAACTTCGAAGCCATAAGTCTCACGAACTTGAAATTTGGTATGCAGACATCCCAATGGTAGGTGCTTATGGGAGGGAATGTATAAACGAGTTTGTTAAAGGGGCGTGACACATCTCATAGGCGTGGAATTTTTTATCAGCTATAACTTCGGAACCATAAGTCACACGAACTTGAAACTTGGTATGCAGACATATCAATGGTAGGTGCTTATACACACAAAGAAAAAGAGAGGTAAATCTAACCGAAAAAGACGATTAAAATTGCAGTGACCGAAAAAAATTGTAAATCAAACCGACAAAAAATTGTTATTATGAAAGTTCGTGAAAATAGTTCGGGCACCATTAAAAATAGTTAGCTTACCATCGAAAATAGTTCGTGTACCACGAAAATAGTTCGTGTACCACAAAAAATTGTTTTTTAACCATGAAAAATAGTTCGTGTACCACGAAAAATTGTTTTTTTTACCATTAAAAATAGTTACTTTACCATGAAAATAGTTTTATTACCATGAAAAATAGTTAGTTTACTATGGAAAATAGTTTTTGTACTATAAAAATGGTAAAACTACTATTTTTTTACCTCCAAAAGTTGTCCACTTACCATTTTAATAGTTACTTTGCTAAAATAAAAAGAAGTGATTAAAAAAACATTGATTTTAAATAAATTT